TGTTCAATATAAAAATCCGTTTAACCAATCGTTATTATTATCGTTATTATCAGTACTGTTATTACCGTAGTGTTGTTGTTGTTGCTGCTATCACTTGTTGTGTGTTCAACTTAAAGTGCGTAGACTATTACTATTACTACTACTACTACTGCTAATAGTAGTAGTAGTAGATCTGTGTGTTGTCAGTCATTCATTCTATCCACTTTTCTGCATATTTTACAATTTTAATTGATTGTGACTGACTAATCAACCAGTCTATTTTTGTAATGCTTCATACAACGTTTATCTACAGCATTCATAACCAAATCATAGTAGAATTTATTATCATACCCAGACAGTAAAATACTTTTTTTTTCTTTCTCCTTGTCTGTCTAGCAAATAAACACACTCATTCATGCATTTCGCTTCATTTCATTCACATTCTCATATCCTATGTACTACTAATGAATACTACCACACCCAGTCAACAGTATATATCCTCATTTTATCGATTATTATCCCAAAGTGTCATCATATATATATGTACGCCCACCTCGAAGTACATCCATCTATATCTATATATATATATATATAACTTTTGAAGTTCTATGTTACATACACGAATATGTTGGCAGTGAAATGTCATTTTTTTCTTCCGGACTGTTGTTGTTGTTATATTCATCTCTCTCTCTCTATCCTTCTCTTTTTTCTTTGTCTCTTGATCGCACTTTTCTTTGTTTTCCCACTTAAAATATTATTGTTTATCTATTCGTTTTTCTTTATTGGATTATGATTTGCCACTGCTACTGTGTATATACTACTGTTTTCTTTCTCCAAAATAAATAGACCGTTTTATTAAGAAATGAGAGAGAGAGTTGAAAATATGTTCATTCTATCCTGCTATTATTATTATTATTCCTTTAAGTTCACAGTGGAACATATGGCTTTAACAGTACATCTCTACTTCATTCTCTTTTCTGCAGTCGTCTTTAACCGGCACCATGATTGCCTATGAGCTCCGATTTCTTCCATATTACTCTCGGTTCTACGTCCAATGAGTCGTTACCCACTCGAGTTCCGCTCGAGTGCCTGATCCACAGGCTTTCCTTAGCGTGTGTCCTAGTCATCTGCATTTTCTTCGGAATATTTGTTAGAGAATAGTTCTTTGGTTATTTCGTTGTGTGACAGAGTTCTTTGTCGCTAATTCTTTCTGACTGGTCATGCAATCTTCATTTTGGAGGGTAGGCATCCTTGCATTAGATCCTCTTTATTTCATTTTTTTGAATTTTAGCATAGTTCGTGCAAAAGACGTCGAAAGTGGAATTGATGTCCTGTAGTAGTGGCGCATTCTGTTTCATTGAGGTACCGGTTTAGAATAATTTTCAGTATAGCGACTTGACTGAAAACAGAAGTGGGCTTGAAATATTCAATTTTTATAGATGTTAACTTAAATCCATTTATCATTGTGTAAGGATCCGTTTGAATTGACTCTACGTTAAGTAAAATCGCCGTATTTATTAAATACGTAGCAATTAGAAAGTCATGAGAACTTCCAGTAGGAGGGAGGTATTAAGAAGTATAATAAAAAGATGATTACAAGTTATTAAAACAGCTACAACTCTCCAACCAATTTCGATCGCATGGAGACACTTTGAGCCTACAGACTCCCATTTGTCAGTGATTTCACAGGTTGGCGCTGTCATTTTCTGGATACGCTTATCTAACTGCAGATTTTTTTCCAAATCGTAGAAAATACCCATCAGGACATTAGAGAGAAGAGAAACAAGAAGCTCAGCAAAGATATCTTTTCGGTGATTTCATTCTCAAAAGCTGTACACTCGCATTTATTTACATAAGTTTACATTGATACAGTCATTATTTAATTCCACATAATTAACGAAGAAGATTTAGAAGTAATAATAATTTTTAGCTTGATATGAAATTTCTAAGGTGTGAATATAGATCACAAGCGGCTTAGATTTAATAATCAACGTGGTACTGAGGGAGAATTAGTGTATGACGACTACACTTAACGCATGTCACAAAGATACTAAGTGATATATTTTTTGAAACTGACTTACCTGTCCTACCTTATATTCTACGTGTAACCTCTATGTATTGCTTAGACCAACATACATAATTCCTTTACGTTCCCAGTGGAACATAGGGCTTCAAGCTAGAGGTTTGAAGTTTCTGTAGCAGTGGTGTTCATTTTTACGGGATGGAGTTGCTAGTCTCATGCACAACCTTCCCTCTTTACATGTCTTGTTACTGGCTTAGCGAGGTAAAGAAGTGTTTCGGCCGGGGATGGAACCCCGAACCATATGCGTGGTTGGCAAGCATCCTACCGCTGTGCCACCGACACACTTTGCTTAGATCATGGTGACCGCAAAATAAACAGGTGATTTAGTGAGTTCTCAACAGGTTTCTTGATTCCTTTACTTTGAATAACTATCCTTCATACTTATATCAGTTAGATTGTTATTACTTCGAGTAGAGAACAACATAAGTAGTGTATAATTATATGTATTACAAATTATGGTTTCAGTGTTTATTACCGGAGATTTTATTATTTTATTATCATAGTTCACGAAGAGTGAAAAAAATATAGGGATATTTTAGTTTACATAACGCCAAGGAGAAGAAGCGTTGCATGACAAAACTAAGAAAAAGCCTCCGTACTGAAACTACATTGAATTCTGTAACAATAAATTTTTATTTTTGTTTCGAGTAGATGTTTCCCCCGCAATTGACTGACAAGATTGTAACTGAATGAAGGTAGAACTTAATGCCTAACTCACTTAACTGTCTATCATTCTAGGTGGTTAAATAAATTAAAACTTTAGTTTGTTACTCGTGATTGATTATGAGTTATACTACCGTGGGCTGTTCTGGTGATTAGTCATATATGCCTGGGCAATCACTTACTAACAGTTCAACTTCTCTGACCCTCGATAGCCATTTCGAGGTGTGAAAGAGAATTGTTAAGAAAAATATGAATGAAAAAAATAATATGACATGCGTTGAAATTTCTCGGTGTAAATTGACACGGCTTCTTTCTCTCAGATTGGGAATTCATTGGGAAGCCATACTTATAATAGCAGGACTTCTCAGGAAAATTAAATAGAAGGTTTTGGTTTTCGTACTATTTTTGTATTAGTTATTTTAGAATTGACATATTTCTTCGTAAAATCTGATATTTCAGTTATATATATATATATATATATATATATATATATATATATATATATATATTCAAATAATCAGATGCATGCAAACAAAACCATTGTGTCATATATTCAATATCATATTTATAGGCTATAGCTAGTCATCATATGATTGTACATGTGAGAATGACGGTTAGTGTCAATACTTTTACTGCATTGCGTAAATGGATTGTAGATAGAAGATATATTGAGTTGTATAATACTAATTCTCACTTATCAATTTATGAGAAAAAAAATTGTCTTACTGAATTTCAGTACAGGTACGTACTACTTGTCAACATTTTAAGCTTCTTCTAGTGTTCTTTTTTAGAGTATCCCTTCTAGTATCTCTCCTACTGAAGTGGCTACTGATGTCTAGGTATACAGTCTGTCTGTCTGTCTATCTATCCATGACAAATACTCATCAATTTAAGTTTCCGAGACTCAAAGAATTCGTGGCTGAAGACTTATGTTTGCATGGCTGTAAAAAATCGTTCTTAGTGGCGCAGATACATTCAATTTTCTGTGATCTGATAAATCCTCCTTTTCCTGAATCCTATTACTATTTCTTCTGCACATTTATGTGTATTATAGTGTGGTAACTTGGACTGCCGCGCCTTTTTTCAAAGTTCTAGGTAGAAAATCCTTTCAGTCAGTCAATTAGTGTATTAACAAGAGAATAATGTGAGTGTGGTCATATTGATGTTGGAGAAGAAAAAAAAACACAATAAGCTAAGATGGTAGGGAGACTGATGATACACTATAACGAGATTTATATCAGTTAGGTAAAAAGATTGCATTGATTAACGTACGGAATGTCGACCATACTATATACTCATCAGTTACATGTCATGCTTACCAAGTGAATGGAAACGTTACAGACTCCGTGATCGATACTAGTCATTACTATATGTATAACTACAGTAACCATTTATTTGGCAATAAATCCACATACATTGTGTGATGGATGATAATATTACCTAACCATTCATTCATTGGTATGCGTATCCAGGTCAAAGTCCGTAACTCACTGGTTTACGTTGTAGTGTTCCTGAAGCAGGTATCACTTTTTCGAGTGAATGGTTTTGGAATCTACTTCATTATGTCTAATATTAGATAACTGCATTGCTTTATGTCTCATTTAAGTCACATCTGTTACTTATTCAACTTTCTTTTTCCCTTGAAAAGAGGCAGATTAAGTGTGTATAGTGGACTGTGGATATCTGGCTTAGTGGTTTATGCACTTGACTTTCAGCCAGTCGGTCATAGGTTGGAGTCCCACTCCACCTACCTCAGCCCAGACGTCTGGTGACTATCAATAGCCCATGCACGAAAGAGTGGCATATAGGTAGGTAATAGATTGGCTACTGGACAACAACATTTCGGAGCAAACTTGATATCGTAATCTGAAGGTCTTGAGTTCGATCCCTGGGGTTGGCGTCATGATCATGCTTTGTTGAAGAGTACCAAACTGGGACGAAAGAGGTATCCAGTGCTCGCTAGTATTCAATGATCTCTCTAACTGATGTTGGTTCGTGGTGAGATCTACATTGAAGATAATCCAAACTTCTACAAATATCCACAATTTAAATAAATTTATTATTATTACTGTTTTAAATATCAGCGGTTAGGACGCTCGCCGACCATGCATATGGTCTGGGGTTCGATCCCCTGCGGACGCACACTTGATATCAATGGTTAGCCTGCAAAATTTGGGCTACCGATATCACATGCTGAAAATTCTATACTTGTACCAAAAATACTGTGTGGAATCAAGCTGTAATCAAAAAAATTCAAATTTTTCTTTTATTGTAGGCTGAAAAGCTACTCGATTTCATTGCTGTGAAAAGTGGTAAAAATAAACAGTCAAGTAAACTTAAAACGAAAAAGACGGAGGATTCGAAAGCAAATGTTGTCCAGCCACATGGAGATAATGCAGACAATACACCACAACAGTATAATCTGAAATTTCGTTTATCTGATTCAAAAGCTGCTAAGCGATTAGCAATACAACTGTATACAATACACAATACAATTATACAAACTTCTAGTGGTAGTAACAATAGCAATAATAATGCCGCTGTTACAACAAGACAATGCAATGAAGAGAAGTCAACCTCTGAAGCATTGACACGATTCAATCGACAATTCCGTGACACGTGAGTAGTGTAATTCGTTTGTTTTTTTTTTGCTTTCTTCTCCGAATACTTCATACAATTCCTCACCTATGCGAAACTTGAACAAAAGAAGGATAATAAATGTAGCAGGACAATATGAGCTTACACTTATTGTTATTATTATTATTACTTTAGAGATTCTTTTCAACTGCTCACAGTGTGAACAATGTCATCATGAGTAGAGAATGCTTGCTAAACATTTACCATAATGGATAATCTCTGGCATCAATAAAATATCTGTTAAATGCATAAAGAGGTATTCAACTCTGTCCTACCTTTATGATTGGAAAATAGCAAAGAATAGCATATTGTATGGAATGGCTATAGTTCTCGCGACATTATGATCAGTACGTAGACTGAGGTTGTGTCCATGGTTAAGTCCTTTCCTTTTTGAACTATGCATCATACACACTGAGTTATATTGCCTTCTTTAATATGAAATGTCAGCTGATTTACGATAAATAAGTTAGTGTGTGCTTACTTTAAAACGTAATGCCAATTGATGAAGACTTTGTTCTTATCCGAAGTCTTCAGCAGATTAAGAACCAATAGTTTGTAAAGAAAATTTATTTTTCAAAATTAGTTACGGTGAAATGCGAAACATCTTTGTAGGGTACAGCAGGTTGAAGATGAGGCAGTAACTCATAGAAGAAGACATTGCGAAATGGTCGCGCTATGTCGTGAATTGGCAGAAGTTAGAGTTCAAGGAACATTGGATCGGGTCTCAGTGGCTCAATGGTCTACGAGCTCGCCTTGTAACCAGAATGTCCTGGGTTCGAATCCCGGTGGACGCGTACTGATGAAGAGTCCCAAAACTAGGACAAAACAGCTGTGCAGTACTCCCAGGTTTTCCAGTGGTTCTCTAACTGATGTCAGCTCATGATGAAATCCTCCATTCAGTTAAACAAAATCCCTACCAAACCAATACTTGAAAATCTTTGTTAATCTTCGCTAAACTACTTCTACTACTACTACTACTACTATTGCCCTCCTTTCAGTAAGACGAGGCTGCCTATTATCACCGATGATATTCGTAATTGTGGTTGACTGGATTATGCGCCAGACTGTGCACTGGGAATGGGAAAACAGGAATACGTTGGACGGACAAGAAGACTCTAGAAGATCTGGATTTCGCGTGCGGATGATTTATGTTTTTAATGTCACGCAAACTCGAAGTCTTGAAGGCGAAGACCCAAAAACTGGCTGAAAAAGCAGCCATAGAAGACCGGACTGCAGATGAACATAAAGAGGATGGAGGTGATGAAGATCACCAACCAACGAACAGCAACAACAACAACAACCGGCACCAATCACCATCAACAGGAAGAAATTTAAAGAGGTCACTTCCTTCACCTATCTTGGAAGGATGGTTTCAACCACAGGCAGAACATATGAAGATGTCAAAGCCATTCGGAATCAGAAAGGCAAGATTTGCCTTCAACTTGAAACCGGTTCGGAAATCTTCTGCACTCAGCCATCATAAGGAACAAGATTCGGATATTCAGCACAAATGTGAAGTCGGTCAGTTAGTCTATACGAGTCAGAAAGTTGCACTGTGTGTCACAAAAAGGATTTCCAACAGGTTGCAGACTTTTATCAATAGCTACCCCACTCTCTGGCTCCATACTTAAAATCAAATGGCCGGCTAGACAGAATAAGTAACAAGAAAATCTGCAGTGCAACAAACCTACCAAGAGCCAATTGCGTAACAAATATGTAGGAGAAAATAGAGATGGATCTGGTATACCTTTCAGAGGCTGTCGAATGACATCGCACCCAATGCAGGCCATCGCTCTGGTGCATCGGTGGCACATTGGTTAGGACTCTCGCGGATCATGCACATGGTCCGGAGTTCGATCCTCTGCCGACGCACACCCGATATCTATGGTCGGCCTGCTAAATTTGGGCTACCGATATCCATGCTGAATATTCCATACTTGTACTGAAAATACGGTGTGGCATCAAGGTGTAATAAAAATTTAAAAAATAATAGTGGAACCCCAATGAGAAGCGACAAGTGGGTCGTCAGCGCGAGGGTGACATGGAGGAGATCGTATGACAAGTTGGAGTGGATGAGAGGTTATGGGCAATCGTGGAGCTATCCAGCTGAAAAGGACAGCAGAGAATGGAACAAAGTGAAGATGTGTTGTTGAAGCCCTATTTTCCATTAGGAATCCAAGGGAACAGTAATAATAATAATGATTGTTCTCCTTTCAATCACATTCGTATTTATCCATTTTAGTAATATATGCCATCATTGTGTGTGTGTGTGGACTTTAGTCAATTATCATAATGTAGATTTCCCTGTTTTGTGTTCTGTCCTCCGTTATCTATGTGCATGAATTTGTTAGTGTTTTGTGTTGGATTTCAAGTATTTCTATTGGATACTATCATGATTATTATCATTATTATTATTATTGCTTTAATAATGGACAGCTGACATTGTTGTTATTGTTGTTGTCGTTTCGGATAATTGGAATGTAAACAAAGAACTAAAAGTGGTGGTTCTTGGGAAATTTTCCCCCTATCTGTTTTATCTATAATTTTCAGTATTGCTTCTGTTCTTATTCTTGTTTTCTTTCCCCATTTTTACTATTATGACTAATGTATAATAAAGTTGAACAAACAAAGTCCTTCAGTTATATTATACCATTCTCTATCGAAGTTTATTTTTTGTTTATTTGTAATGTGACATTTCATTATCAGTATTTCGCTTTGTATATATAGTCATGATTTAAGAATATTTGCTCGCTTGATTATTCTAAACAAGTCTCTAGTCTCTAGTGTGTGTAACTGTGAGTATGTCACATTATCGCATACATAAACATATATATATATATATCATGTTCATTAGACGCTTATCTTGAAATCTGGAAGTTGAATTTCGCCATTCAGGTTGTCATTTTCTTTTCAAAGCAAAACACAATAACAGTCCTTGAATTCAGTTGATTGCTTATCGGAACTATATATGATACAAGTATCTGTCATCAAATAAGTCCTATTCATTGCCTTCATGCAATGGAGGCGTTTCTCATAAAAGTTAAAAAGGGCGAATATGAATATCTGACGCTTACGACCGGACCGCTGGACATGCAGGCTTACCCAGGTTAACTGGAAAACTCTGATTACAGACCTATGGTATAGATGAGCTCCAGAATCTGAAAGGACTGATTGATGTATGAAACTGCCTTGGTCACACCGGCAACCATGAGAGCACAGTTCCTGACTCTGTTCCACTGCCTTGTAAATCAGACTTCAAGTCAGAAGCTCGAGGAGGGGGGAGTGGTGGCCTCTTAAGACAACCATCTGATTCTCTTTAGGGTGTTCAGACAGTATTCCGACCCTCGCGCCCATAATGTACCAGGTCTCGTTTGTAATAATAATAATAGTAATAATAATAATATTAATGATAATAATAATAATAATAGTAATAATAAGATTGTTTGGGTAGGTGTCTCTGGTACGTGAGTGATCAGTGGTTAGAGTCTATTGACGACGTGATTCCATATTCAAAATGGTGCAGGTGTATTCACTCCTTTCTGTCGTTCAGATTCTGAAAAGCTTGCTAAATCTTTCTATTGTATTATAGTCTGTAACGCAGTTGCTTCTGTTTGTTTTAGTATTATTCTGGTCGCGTCCCTTTAATTTCTCGGGCTTTTTTGAAGTAGAGCGGCTTGCGCTTGATGCACTTCTGTGTGTACAGATAAATACTGTATCTCATCTTCTGACTTACGCGTATTTTTGTATCTGAGTTCTCAAATGTGTGGTAAGAGAGAGCATGAATAAATTGTAACGCAACAGGACGCATACGACTTCTCCATGTCTTCAGCTTCCCTTAGTATAAAATATTAATGCCTAAATGCAGTCATTCGTTGTTCAATGAAACTTTTTATCATTGAAAAAGATGTTTGCCAACTGATCCTTCTTACTGAAATCTATTGTTCATATTTTTAATCGGGCATTTTGACTGAGTCTAATTGTATGGCAGGCACTTAATGTGTTATATTCACTCGTAAGTAGTAGCATTATCTTGCTGAGTGAATCCTCTAAGGAAGCATCATTAATAATCAATTGAAGTCCGGACTTCCATTCCCGACTGACGCACTCCTAAGCCTCACTAGATTTACCAGTCCATAGTAGGCTTGGAAAACAGGTAAGGTTTGGGCAGGAGACTAGCGATCCCGTCTCGTATAAGCCAACACCACGGCCACTGAAACTTCAGGGTTTTAAGTCTAAAGCTCTGTTTTCCACTCGCAACGTCAAACGAAGCAAGAAATGCTTACCGTCACTGTGCACATTAATAACAGAGATTAAGTTTTCGTTGTGCGTACTTTTCTACACATTGTGAATTCTGCCTTACATATTTCTTGTTCCATATTTAATTAGTCTGTTTAAAGTTTAGTCAAAATAGACCTTGAATAACAACTGAATTGTGAAAAAATAATGAAATGCTAATTACCAGAATAATTTTAGTAGTGTTTATTATCAGCAGAATTTTAGCTATATTTCTATATTGTACAAGCGTAATAATAAAAAATCATGAATTTTGTTTCATCACTTGCCAAAACCAAAATCAAAACTGCAATCCCCCGCCCCGCCCCTCACAAACGCATTTCCACACACACACACACACACACACACAAAGTAGAAATTAGTGCATTTACACAATACTACCTCATCTCCATACGATTTTTCCTTGTAATTTTTGTGCGTAGTTTATTCTCTAACGATATGTAAATAGTGTTCAATTTTCTTTTCTGTGCTATTTGTATAAGATTGTATCATTTTGTACCTGCGCGTGCTCTTGCGTATTTGCTATTCATTGATTTATTGATTTGTTTGTGTGATGTCCAATGTTTCAGTATAAAAAATTTTTTAATTTTATGCAAATTCTCGTATGGAGTAAATCAAGCAAAGCTCTCATGATTATAATTCTTTACAAATGGTTTGTGTAGTTTTTTTTAGCTACGAATAATGCTTAG